AACGCCAGAATAAATGTACATTATGCAGCAAAGGAAATTAGAAGACATTTATCCAATATGGAGATGATCGGTTTTGGACGGGCGATGTTCCCCTATTGCATAATCAATACTGAAGAATGACTGATATCATCAACGATACAGGGAAGAAGCTTTCAGTTATCTAGCTTTGCTAGCAGAGTCGTTAGCTAGCAGCTAGCTAATAGCACAACAACAACAGCCTAATGTCTGTATGATAAAAATCCTGAATGATAGATCAGAACAGTTTCTCCTCCCCTCAGTAGTTCTTCAGAGAAAGGCAGACAGAGGCCTGTCAGTGTCTGTTGTATTTCATTTCCTCTCTGCTTAAACCGCTGAAGCAGAAACGAGACTTCAACGTTTTCCGTCATCTGACCAGCAGCAGGTCTGCTCCACTTTATTCACCAGAAACGCTTTAATTCACCAAAAACTGATCTGTAATCTGGAACGTTCAGCTCCAGTTAGGAGTTGCCTCACTGTGGAGAGGCAACTGGGTCACGGGGCAAAAGGTCAAAGGTAACAAGGTGACCGGAGGGCTTATTATGTTGTACAAAAAAAACAACAAAAAATCAATAAATAATTTTAGTACATGTTATTGTGTCAGAAGAGGGCTTAGGAAATAATAATACCAAAAATTAAATAAATAAATAAATAAATAAAATTGACCAAATGGGCACTTGGGGACAAGGAGCAAAAGGGGCAGGTGCTCAAGCCCCCCCAGCCCCTCCCTCTGGATGTGCTTAACCCGTACGCCCTTCCTCCAAAGCTATATCATTCCATGCCACCGTAGCCATGGGGGATGTGTCCAACCCTCACCCTTCCGGATCCAGAGATCCCCCAACACACTGCAGCCGATGGCCTGGCATGCAGAGTCCCTCCATTCCACCGGTCAGGTGGGTGGGACCCAAAGCGATCACCCAGCGGGTGTCCTGGCGTCACTGGGGAGGTTGTCGACGCTGCCACACAAGCCCAACCACAAACATGCAGGCAACCAATTTACAGAAAGTTCAGCAGAACCACAGACCCACCAGAACCTTTTCAGATTCATCCAGAGTAACTGAGATCCAGTGAATGAAAAAGCAGAAAATGATATTTGGAGTGTTTTCATTTCTGAAATGTTTCTGTTTAACTTCTGAAGGACAAGCAGAGCTGCAGCCAGTCAGTCTAAATAAATATAACTATGCAGCCCATATTAATTTGTATTTTTGATCTAGCTGTGCTGTTTAATAATGTTGGTATCTTTAAATATGCTGGTATTTTATTTTATTAAATCGTGTTCTGTAGTTTTAGCTAAAGTTAAAATCCAACTTGGGACAAGAACAGCTAGAAACTCAACATCAGCTGCTCTTTATGTAATTGTTCTAATTCAGTTGCTCCTATAAAAATAGAGTCATGATTATAATTACTGTTATTTGCTTGAATTTAAGGCTACCTTGCTGTTGGATTGTTTAACGTGCCTCAGATTCTTTAGATTTCCTAACAGGAAGACAAAACAGCTTCTGTTTCCTGTTTCCTCCTTTCAGAAGCTCTTGTTGGAGAAGCCGAGGATTGTGGGAGTTGTAGTGCAGATTTTTCTTCTTCTTGTGTTTGGTGACGGCAGCAGGATGTTCGGCATGCTACTGCTCTGCTGCGCCTCCTCCGGTCTGCTGCGGCCGGCAGCCTCCCTGGTCCACGGAGGAATCCGGCTGGACGACACCCCGCCGGCTGCTGTCCGCCCCGACGCCGCCTACCTGGCTGACATCGGTCGGTGACAGACGTCCAATCAGAGAGCTCGAATGCCCCCCTCCAGAATTGTTGGTGTTCATGGTTCCAGTTTCAACCTGGAGCTTTGCAGAGCAGATTCGTGTAGAAAACATCTAACCAGATGTTGGACTGTTTCAGGTACTGAGCAGTTTGTCCTTCCTGTGTCTGCAGATAGAGGCCACGCCCCCAGCCATCTTCAAGATGGCGGTCTCCTTCCTGTGGACTCAGAGGAAGACCGCTTGCTGATGGAAGCAGGCTCCAACAATGAGGTGCAGGACTGTCCTCTGCAGCAGGTCTGCAGCTATTTGTAATTTTGCACCAAATTGACCCAACTGTGGGTATTTCCCTTGTCCTGCAGGACTCGTCTGCGCTGCAGCTGCAAGGCAGAGCTGTGCGTTCGCCTCGCCGCTGCATCCCTCACCAGCAGTTCTGTCTGGGTTACTCACTGCCCTGCTGCGACCCCTGTGACACCTGCTACTGCCGCTTCTACAACGCCATCTGCTACTGCCGCCCGGTGGGCCACACCTGTCCACAGAGACCCACCTGACCCACCTGACCCACCTGAACCACCTGAACCACCTGAACCACATGACCCACCTGAACCACCAGACCCACCTGACCCACCTGAACCACCAGACCCACCTGACCCACCTGAACCACAGACCCACCAGAACCACCTGAACCACCTGAC